TGCGGAAATGAAAAAGTAAACAAGACTGGGACTGCATCGGTATTTAGGCTCCAGCTTTTGTTGTTGTTTTCGGCTTTTTGTTTTTTTTAAGCATTGGGCTGGGAGCCTGAAGGAACCATATAATATGAAAAACCCTGAAAGGTTTTATTAGCCAATAAAAAAATCTTAGTTCCTATTAACCACTTAACTCCTTGCTAGACTTTCACACATGCTTCCTCCTTGCATCCTTCCCTCCCTCTCACGCCCACAAGGAATGAAAGTCGGTCCATCAGTCTTTCCCTACACAACCTGAATTCACCGTGTGTTCCACAAGTTGTGGGTGAGGATTCTAGTCTCTGCATTTCTCATCTGTGAAACCACTTATAAGATCTCGATAAGGAGTCAGATTATTTTTGTGCCCACACCTCCCCACACACACAAACTTTTTAAACACACTGCTAAAAAGGAGAAAGGTCACTGGAATTTTCAAGATTTAAATACCAAGTGACAGAGAAGACAGGATCGGGCTAATGCATTCCTGGAATGTGTAAAGATGCCACTGAAGGGTCCTCTCCTTTGGGGGCCCAAAGAATAAAGAGAAACTCACAGAGAAACAGAAAGTGAAACTGGTCAGAATTGTTGCAAGGTCAGAGAGGGATGGAGTTATAAAAAAACATAAGTGACCTAATTTCAAAAGGAAAGGATGTCAAAGGAGATTGAGATCATTATATTAATTCCCACCCCATTATGCATATCACGTGGTTTTGTTGTTTGCTTTTTTGGCTGTATTTAAATAATATGCATTTGCTCAGTTACATCATTCCATCACCCAGTTGTGTTTTGGGAGTTGCTGGTACCCCCATCTCTCTAAACAAACAAACAAAAATCTCTAAAGCTCTGCCACTATATCCTGTATCTCTCAATTCCCTAAGCCTCCTGTATCTTACTTCCATTTTCCACTCCTGGGCTAACTCGAGTACTTTTGGTTCTCCAGGAGGAACGTCCTAAGTTCTAAGGCATACAGAACCATGGGAGACCTTGTTGCAGTTTTGTGTTCTGTCTCATTTAATGTTGCAGAGACAAGATTATTTCTTGAGAGGCTTGTGTGGAAAAACTTTTTTTTTTTTTTTTTTTTAGCATTTTTCTCTGTGGTCTTGATTTCTTTATAAGAATGACAGGTGTGGGGAAATTCTTCCTTTTCTGTTGGCTATGGAGAGGGACAGAATGGCCTGGGATGAAAAGATCGCCATCAGGAAGTGAGCTACACCTGCAAAGCTAGAACATAACGCAGCTTTTGCAGAAAACCCCACTAAGTGGCCAGGCATTATTGCAACAAGATAATAAGAGAACAAATTAAAAGAAGTTTTAGTAAAAGTTAAGTGGGTTTCCAGAAACTTGATCCTTCTGCTTTCCAACTGGTTGAACATGTCTGAACAGCAGGGCCAGTTAAGTCACAAAAAGCTTTTGAATAAAAGCTTTACAAAAATTAAAAATAACCTCTTCTTAAATATCAGCGTCACTGTGCTCCTGACATCTCAGGGAGCATCCCGTGTTCCTTGTCCCCACCAAATAACCCATTTGAAGAAGAGTAATTGCTTCTTCACCACTTGTGGGATAAAGATGGTGCATGTTTGTTTGTTTTGTTTTGTTTTTTTGCAGAATTTGCTAACAACAAACACCTGAGGCAAATAAATGCTGTGTCAAGAAGCATGAGTGTGTGCACAGTGAGTTTCATCTACCCGCAAATGGCTGCCCAGGCACCTCCTTCTATCCTTCCACCCTCCTTACCTTTAGCCACACATGCACACACACACACACACACACACACACACACACACACACACACACACACACACACACACACACACACACACACCCTCCCAGGCAGCCATAATCAAATGATTATAGTTCATGT